AAGCTCGCCGCGCAGAGATCGTCGACCAGAATCCGTCGAGCAGAACCTGCTCGACCGCAACTTCTGCCGAACTGCAGAAGCCCATTTCGTCGACCGATCCGTCGCGAACTTCCCGTCTACAGCGAGATCAGCTACGCTCAAGCGAGGGCGGGGCCATTTCCTTCGACATTACAGACCCGGGGGTCTACAACTGGAGGGGGTCTTATAACACTATGCATGTATGGGATAGAATATTTGAGGCTATGCTTTGTTTAGTACGTTGAAACTTTGTCCACGATTTAAAACAGATAATGCAATGTTTATGATTAGTAACCGACAGTAGAAATCAAAGCTCGAAGAATTACTATAACGATGTTGTAACTTGGGAGGAACCCTGGTACGGCAGGTGGCTTCTATTTGGCATGCTTAAGGCTCGGAATATCAAAACTCCGAAACAACTTCCCATATCTCCATGTTTCTTCATGCCTCCCCAATTCCTCATTTTTTCCCAATGTCTTTGTGTTTCCCTTTGCTTCTCTCTGTCTTTGTGTCCACAAGGTGACAGTGTCTTCGTGTCCCCCCATGTCATCCTGTTTTTCCGTGACTACCTTTTTCCATAATGAATCTTGTTTCACCATGCCTCTAGTATAGAGCCTATGCCATGTGGTTCCCCAGGTCTCCCTGTTTAAAAAAAAAAACAAAAAAAAAAAATAAAATCAATTCCACGCCACGTCCACCGTCCAACAGTGTGATAAAAGCAGCACTCTTCTTATGGTATTTCATGATTTGCACTTCGACGTTGCGCTTGTTCGAACAACGGTAAATTCTTTTCAAGAGGGGGCCATGGACATGCTCTCACATGTTTGTCGAGAATTCTGACACATGATCCGCCCTTCGGATAGCAAGAACATAATGATACAGGAGATGAGTCTTGATGATGCACCAGCTTGTCTTTTGGGTGGGAAACACCACTTGCAACTTCGCTACAAGACTGTACAGGGTCGGGGTGCAGGAAAAAAGGGTGTGTATGACGGGAGAGTAGGGCAGATAATGAGATGGATTAGCTTCGAACTGAACAGAGCAGAAACCAGCCCCATGCGTACCGATGCCTCTCCCTGGGTCTGCTCTGCCTCTACCTGCCAGTGGCAGGTCACGGGATACGTTGATGGTATGGGTGGGGGGATGAGGCTTAGCGAGCAGATCAGAGACTCGAGCATGCCTCTGCCCCTCTCTACCTTCTCGGCTCATCCACTCCTGTCAGTGGCATGGAAAAGAAAGGCAGAGAAGGGGTTGCATTGAGGGTATGGGTGGGGGGGTGGAGGCTTAGAGAGCAGATCAGAGACACGAGCATGCCTCTGCCCCTCTTTACCTTCTCGGCTCATCCACTCTTGTCAGTGGCATAGAAAGAGAGGTAGAGAAGGGGCTGCATTGAGGGTATGGGTGGGGGGGTGAGGCTTAGAGAGCAGATCTGAGCCCCGAGCATGCCTTTGCCCCTCTCTACCTTCTCGGCTCATCCACTCCTGTCAGTGGCATGGAAAGAAAGGCAGAGAAAGGGCTTCATTGAGGGTATGGGTGGGGGGGAGAGGCTGAGAGAGCAGAACATATACATCAGCACGCCTCTGCCTTCCACAGCCTCTTCGTTTCAGCCACTCCTGTCTAAGTCATGGAAAGAAAGGCCAGAGAAGGGGCTGCATTGAGGGTATGTGTGAGGGGTTGAGGCTTTGGGAGCCGAACAGATAGTGTGCATATAAGAAAACAGACCCTATCTGACCCCATTCAAAACAAGGTTTACGATATAGGTTGCAACATCATCAATAAGGGGTATGCATAAGCGGGAGAAGGCGAGGGCTTACTCGTTGGTCAATTCCTGCAATCGAAGCGTGCCCTCGTGTGACCTGGGAGCCAGGCGCGGGTAAAGACACCATTCGAGGAAACGCACGGAGGAGGAGGGAGGGAGACGCTCAGGTGTGCATGGGCCTCCATGCTGCTCCTATGGGATTTGATTCATCCTTTCCTATCTCTCCGTCCTTTCTCCCTGCCATTGGCAGGAAATGCACAGAGGAGGGAGGGAGAGGCTGAAGAGTGTGTGCGCCTCCATGCTGCTCGTATTGGGTTTGATTCATACCTCGCTGCTCCCCTCATCCTTTCCTCTCTCATGTCCTTATCTCCTTGCCATTGGCATGAAATGCACAGAGGAGGAGGGAGGGAGAGGCTGAGGTGTGTGTGAGCCTCCATGCTGCTCGTACCCTGCTACTGCTCTCATCCTTTCCTCCCTCATGTCCTTATCTTCCTACCATTGGCATGAAATGTACAGAGGAGGAGGGAGGGAGAGGCTGAGGTGTGCGTGGGCCTCCATGCTGGATTCAACCCCGCTGCTACTCTCATCCTTTCCTCTCTCATGTCCTTATCTCCCTGCCATTGGCATGAAATGTTTGGTGGAGGAGGGAGGGAGAGGCCGAGGTGTGTGTGAGCCTCCATGCTGCCCGTATTGGGTTTGATTCTTACCCCGCTGCTCCTTTCATCCTTTTCTCTCTCATGTCCTTATCTCCCTGCCATTGGCAGGAAATGCCCAGAGGAAGAGGGAGGGAGAGGCTGAGGTGTGTGTGAGCCTCCATGCTGCTTGTATTGGGTTTGATTCGTGCCCCGCTGCTCCCCTCATCCTTTCCTCTCTCTCTGTCCTTTCTCCCTACCATTGGCAAGAAATGCATAGAGGAGAAGGGAGGGAGAGGCTGAGGTGTGTGTGGGCCTGTATGCTGCTCCTATGGGGTTTGATTCATACCCCGCTGCTGCTCTCATCCTTTCCTCTCTCTGTCCTTATCTCCCATCAACGATCAAGAAATGCGTAGAGGATGAGAGAGGGAGAGGCTGAGGTTTGCGTGAGCCTCCATGCTGCTCCGCTTGGCTTGGATTCAACCCCACTGGTCTCACGCAGTCTTCTCTGTCCTTATCTCTGGGCCATTGGTAGGAAATGCACAGAGGAGGAGGGAGGGGGAAGCGAAAGTGTGTGTGTGTGTTTCTATGTTTCTCCTTTGTGCATTGCCCTTCTCTTCCTAACGTTGCTCGAGATTGAACAGATCAGAGAAGAACTTTGAAGATGTGCACGTGGCTTTATTCCGCTCTTGATGGTGTCAAAGAGGGCGTCTCCTTTTTTTTTTCCGTTTTACAGTTGGTCCTATTTAACACTTGGTTGGGCTCTATGACTGGTTGACGAATCACAAAATCTGTGACTACGCGAGAATCCAACCAAGTGTTAAATGCTCGTAAATATGAGACGCGAGCTTTAACTCCACTCTCCTGCTCTCACCCTAAACCCTCTCTGTGCTCCTTTATCCACTCTACAGAAGAGATGAGAGGTTTATGTATCCATGTGGATGAGGAGACGAAATTGCCATTCTCCAGCGAACCCTTTGCAGTGGGGAAAAGACATGCATTCACGCGGACCAATGTGACATTGGTGGCAGTCACGTATGCTGTTCTTGTAGTAAGAACAAGTAGATAGATAGTGTTCAAGCCTTTTTATTGGCACCTACAGGAGCTTAATTGAAGTATTCGTTGTTCCCTTGCAACTGGAATGTCCCTTATTAGAGGAGAACAGAGATGGCAAGATGACAACAATCCTGAAGTCAGCCGGGAAAAGTATAAGAGTACTATGGTAAAGTGCAACAAATGGGTGGAGCACGCTATCACCACCCTGGGCGTGCGCTATGATCCTCGTAGGAATGCTTTCCTGTTTGGCAGAGGTGTTTGTATCCACGCGAGCGACTACCCGGCATTGCTGAAGAAGGACGTCATTACCTAGAAGTTTGATTGAATGTTGGTAGTTTGATGCGTAGTAATGTGGGATAAATATTAAGTATTCTAGATGCTTTATAAGATTTCGTAGTGGATTAAAAAATGCTATTTATTGGATCAAATGCCAATAACAAATATATCACATAACAATAAATAGCTATAAAAAATAACTGTAATAGTTTATGTGCTTCGCTTAAGCTTATCATGTAGCAAATAGTAAACGGAATATATGAAATAATTGTCTTTTTGGTCCCGCAGATTCTGGCGAGCTGCGACAGAAATCTGACAAAAACACAATGGAAGATCGAGCGGAATCGGTTGGTGAGTATCTCCCTGAAAACTGACTAGAAATCAGTTGGAAACACCATTGATCCAGTGGCCTGATTTCTGGCGGATGAACTCCACAATTTTTCGTCAGATTTCCAAGGGACACACACAATTTTCAGCCGAGTGCGTCCAAGTCCCCGACCCTGTTTTTTGTGATACTGTAAAACCTTGTTTCACTCACTTCCTTTTAGCTCTTTGTTGCTACTACCCTCTTGCTCGTTGTTCTGTTGACTGCCTCATCCATCCAGTTCGACATGGCCTCAGAGTATCTATCATTTGTTTATGCGCTTAGCTTTTGGAAAAACAATGAGATACACGCAAAGACATGCGTGCAGCGTATAGGCTCCAACAGCAGTGGCACGAATCTAATCTCCCACCCAACGCTGCAGCGCCAATGATCGAGCTGCCGGCGGATGCTGGCACGAATCTAATCTCCCACCCAACGCTGCAGCGCCAATGATCGAGCTGCCAGCGGATGCTGCAGCCTTGTATATTGCAGCTTTGGACGTTGCCACTTCGGATGCTGCAACTTTGGATGTCTCTGATGCTGCACCTTCCAATGCTGCAGAAGCGTCCCATGTTGAAGCATCGCATGCTGAAGCGTCTCATGCTGCAACTTCGAATGCTGAACCATCCAATCCTATAGCTGCAAAAACGAAATTTTCTCATCCTGCAGCACAAGATGCTAAAGCCTTAAATGCCATATTATCGGATCCATCAATGTCTATCGTTGCACCAGCGCATACTGCAGCATCAGAGGCGCTCATTTCAGCTCTGAAGGCTCTATCTTGGCCGGCTTACGCCAAGTCAGTAAGTACGGTCGTACCATCGCGCATCCCAAAACCGAGCAAGGGAGTAGAGATTAGGCGAGTGGAGGGAATAACACTGATTCCCAGGCCTAAATGCGCCGCACCGCAAAGGGAGGTGAGCGGAGTGCAAGTTGAAGCTGCAGCCAAGTGGCCTCGCAGGACGTCCAAGGCCGTGCTTGCTACAATCCCACGCCGGCCATGCCGCCCTTGACTGTTGTTTGGATGAAGAAAAAGAGGAAAAAACAAGAGATTGATTGTTAGTGAAAGAAAAAAAAAATGAAAATGAAGGTTGAAATGAGGAGAGTTTGGAATGTGAGATGGAGCGACAACAAAAAATGCTTGTATAAGCACTGGAGCACAGCAGCACGCCGAGAGCAGCGAGTGGGGACTTATGGGGAGGAAAAATGGGTGTGGTATGGATGGGAAACACGGTGGCATGACCCATGCTTGCGCCCTGCTTTACCGCATGGTGTTAGTGGGGTGTGGTGGGTGGCTGATGGCTGGAGGGTGTGAGGAAAGTTTCTTATGCTGCTGCCATTCAATGCGCCTCTACAAGGATTGTGCAAGGCTTGAGCGCTCCTGGGCGGATGGCTCCGGGCTTGAGCGCTCCTGGGCGGATGGCTCCGTGCTTGAGCGCTCCTGGGCGGATGGCTCCGGGCTTGCGCGCTCCTGGGCGGATGGCTCCGGGCTTGCGCGCCCCTGGGCGGATGGCTCCGGGCTTGCGCGCCCCTGGGCGGATGGCTCCGGGCTTGCGCGCCCCTGGGCGGATGGCTCCGGGCTTGCGCGCCCCTGGGCGGATGGCTCCGGGCTTGCGCGCCCCTGGGCGGATGGCTCCGGGCTTGCGCGCCCCTGGGCGGATGGCTCCGGGCTTGCGCGCCCCTGGGCGGATGGCTCCGGGCTTGCGCGCCCCTGGGCGGATGGCTCCGGGCTTGCGCGCCCCTGGGCGGATGGCTCCGGGCTTGCGCGCACCTGGGCGGATGGCTCCGGGCTTGCGCGCACCTGGGCGGATGGCTCCGGGCTTGCGCGCCCCTGGGCGGATGGCTCCGGGCTTGCGCGCCCCTGGGCGGATGGCTCCGGGCTTGCGCGCCCCTGGGCGGATGGCTCCGGGCTTGCGCGCCCCTGGGCGGATGGCTCCGGGCTTGCGCGCCCCTGGGCGGATGGCTCCGGGCTTGCGCGCTCCTGGGCGGATGGCTCCGGGCTTGCGCGCTCCTGGGCGGATGGCTCCGGGCTTGCGCGCTCCTGGGCGGATGGCTCCGGGCTTGCGCGCTCCTGGGCGGATGGCTCCGGGCTTGCGCGCTCCTGGGCAGATGGCTCCAGGCCTTAGTTGCAGAAGACGCGTCTAGCGTATTAGACGCGCCCGTCTAGACGCAACATCTAAGACGCTAGATGCTAGATGAGTCCAGATTAGACGCAGTATCGAAAGATCGGGCAGGCTAAGAAAAAGTTCGGGCAGACCAAAACAAATTCGTGGGCATGGGGAGGGTGGGGGACATGCACGTATGTCACAATGGGGACAATATTTCCCCGTACCATAACATTCTCCCCATTCTTAGATTTCACAAAAATCTTCACATCTCATCATACATCGTTAGGTTTCCATGTCTCTCTAGTAGTACCAAAGTCGAAATAAATTACTACTACTACATCTAAACAATTACTACGTCTCCTAGCTCTCCTCCTCCTCCTCCTCCTCCTCCTCCTCCTCCTCCTCCTCCTCCTCCTCCTCCTCCTCCTCCTCCTCCTCCTCCTCCTCCTCCTCCTCCTCCTCCTCCTCCTCCTCCTCCTCCTCCTCCTCCTCCTCCTCCTCCTCCTCCTCCTCCTCCTCCTGCCCCTCCCACTCATCGAGCCACACGTCGTCCTCGTCCGCTTCCACTCCCCCATCCTCCTCCAATTTGTACCCCTCGAGGAGGGGAGGGGGGGGGATGTGTTCCCTTGCACCACCGCACCCCTCCTTCCCACCACACTAGACCCCGCGTCAGCCGCACCCTTATGGAAGCTGTGCACAACATTCCAGTTGTGCGCAACGTGCACAAGGTCGCGCACCTTCTCCGACCCGAGCCGGTTCTTGCGCGCCGTGTGCACGCCATCCTACGTAGGCCAGTCCACTCGCACGGGAAGCGGAAACGGGCTTGGACAGCGTACGCCACGGAATACACGCCAGGTCATCTTACTCTCATCCATTGTACTGCCACCACAACATCACGTTCCCCTTTTTCCAACAAATTCAGCTCACGCTCTTCGATCGCGGTTTTCGGGCCGAATCCTCCTTCGCCATTGATGTAGGCCATCACCCCATCATGCAGCAGCCACACCGGTTCCTTCTTGTCGTGGGACCTATTCCAGTACGTGTCGTCGAAAGACTTCTGGTGCTCCAACCACTCCTGCGTGACCTTGGTGCACTCCGCATCCTGCAAAAAGATTCCCTCCTCCTGGTTGGCCGGGTTCAAGATCCGGCCTGCCACGTGGAGGGTGCATGACAGGCTCTCGTCCCAACGCCTCCTCAAATGCTCTCGCACCTTCTCGTTATCCGCCCTGCTCAGCTTGCACTCCTTCCCATCCAGCAGCTTATCCAACTTCTCTGTTAGCTGCAGCATAATGTCGTAAAACTGGATCGCACCTTCTCGTTATCCGCCCTGCTCAGCTTGCACTCCTTCCCATCCATCAGCTTATCCAACTTCTCCGTTATACATCATCCCCTTCTCCGCTGAATCCGTCCTTCGCATCACGTTGTTGAACACCTCCATCAGCCGCACAAAGAAGTCCACCTTCTTCCATTATGCTGAGTCCATCACCCACCCCTCGAAATCCGATCCCGTCAACTTGTTCCCCCCCTTCTCCGCCCAGTCATTGTGTGTCACCATCGCCGTGAGCTGCAGGCGAACGACGCGCAGACGAGACAATACGATGAACTCCATTTCAAAGCGTGTACTTGCCGGGCGCAACACCTGCAGCGAATTCTGCTCACCGTGGAGCTCTGGGCTCCGCATGAAGGCGCGAGTCCACTGGTGCCCGCGCACGAATCCGATGATGTTGTCAGCCTGGGTCACGACCACCTGCGCCCAGTCCATCTTGCCGATGTCCTCCGTCAGTAGGTCCAGCACGTGCGTGGCGCAGGGCACGAGGTTGAGATGCAGCCACTTCATCTGCAGCAGCTTGCCAGCAGCTTGCTGCCGCCGTCTGTGCACAGCGCCACAATGTGCTCTGCCTTGATGCGTTCGATGATTGGCCGCAGGACGCCGGCGATGAACACGCCACTCTTCGTTGCCACCTTGCAGTCGACCGCCTCAAAGAAAAGAGCTCCAGTGTCGTTGATGCAAATGATGTTCATTCGTGTGTAGCTGCCCTTGCCTTGCATCATGTCGCTGGCAATCGTGACACCCCTCTCCCTCCACGACTTTGTAACGGGCGACAACGCCTTCTCAATCTGCTGTTTGCACTCAAGCAGGTCGTCGCCTCCGATGTAGTGCCGCTTGGGGAGGACGTAGTTCGGTCCAGCGGTGGTGACGGCTCGCAACATGTCTCGCACTGAGACTCCGATGTGCGCGTCCCCGCGAGTTAGAGGACAATCGCCTCGTCGCCCGCCCGCCTTGCCGTGACCCCACCCTCACCGTAAAAGCCCTACATGCGCCCCCGCTTCCCCTTCCCTTTCGCCGCGCTCTTGGCGCTCACTGCATCGAGCACCATATCCGTCACCCGCGCCTTTTGGTTGCGCACCCGAACCTTCGCTTCGAATATTTCGCGAATTTCCTTCAAAAAATCCTTTGGCACGTCCGCAAACGATTCCCGCCTTGCGTCGCCGGTGGGGGTCGTTCCACTCGGCGAGGTGCTCGGGACACCGGCTAAATTTTTGTTGTGGCACCAAAGACACTCCACTTGCTCACCCTTTTTCTTCCGATTGATAAGAAGGTAATAGTGCTTGTAGATAGGGTGCTTGGGAAACTTAGACTTCTTATTCTCCTCCATATCCTTGGAAACACGAGCAGAAGAACCTTCACCAACGGCATTCTCGCTCACGGAGGAAGTACTATACGAATAACTACGGAAAGACGTGGTTGCGCGAAGGAACTAGCTAAACCCTAAGGGTTTTCGAAAAAAAAAAATGGAAGAAATGAATGGTGGGGAACAAAACTGAGGGATTTGTGTTCCCCAACCTCTTGATAGTTAGCCATAGAGGTTGGGTTTTCTCGATACCAGCCGGTGAAGTGTGGTTTGTGTTCAATTTTGGTTGGGGGGGGGGGGGGGGGGGGGGGGGGGGGGGGGGGGGGGGGGGTTATTCAAAATTGCTTGGGAGGCTGGTCTATATTGTCAATATGGGTGGGAAGGGGGTTCTAATGGCGTGAAGTTGACTTTCGCATCGAAATGGCGAATTTCAATTTCACGCGCGCAGATTCTTTTTTTTTGTTTTTCCGGGCTGCTCGGAAAATTTTAGCCCAAGCGTCTAGCGTCTAAAGGTGCGTCTTGAGTCTAGCGTCTAGACGCTGCATCTAGACGCTAGACGCAAGACGCGTCGAGCGTCTTCCGCAACTAAGCTCCAGGCTTGAGCGCTCGTGACAAATGGCTCCAGGCTTGAGCGCTCCTGACGGATGGCTCCAGGCTTGAGCGCTCCTGACGGATGGCTCCAGGCTCGAGCCTTTGAAAGAAAAGTTGGAAACTAGACATTGTGACAACTATGTTCTGTAGACTTGTAGACCTTTGATAAATTGTCTATACACTGTTATGCCTTGCCATGCATGCTCACTTGAAATTCAGGACTGTTTTCCATTCTTCACTGTTTCACCTTGTCCTGCCACTCCTCATTATACCATACTTCACTGTTTTACCTTGTCTCTCAGTCACTCTCTCCCTGCTTCCCCATACCCCGCTATTTTTTCCTTCTCTTCCTGTCACTCCCTGTCTCCCCATACCTCACTGTTTTGCCTTGTCTCCCTCTCACTCTCTATTACCCCGTAACTCACGGCTTCACCTTGCCTCCCTGTCACTCCCTGTTTCCCCATACCTCATTGTTTCACATTGCCTCCCTGTCACTCCCTGTTTCCCCATACCTCACCGTTTCACCTTACCTCCCTGTCACTCCCTCTTCCTTCTTGCTTCGGCGTTTCACCTTCTCTCCCTGTCCATGTCCCCCGTTTTCGCTATACATCCTTGTTTCCCCATATCCTTTGGTTTTCTTTGTTTGCTCATGTGTCCTCCTTTCCCTATGTATCCACTCCATGTTTCACCATACTTGTTTCGTCATGCCTCCCTAATTTCCCGTGCCTACCTGCATTTTCATGTCTCCTTGTTTCCTGCGTTTCTCTCATTCCCCATGTATCCCTGTTTCAGCAAATTTTATCTTCCCTAATGTCCCACTCATCATGTCTGTTTGTTTCCCCATGTTGCACTGATTCTTCATGCCCCCCTTTTCCCCATTTTCCCATGTCTCACCATATCTCCATAGTTTCTGATGCCTCTCCAATTCCTCGTTTCCTAACATCTCCGTGTTTCCCTATTGTTCTCTCTGTCTTCATATCTCATGGGTTGAGCGTGCGTCACTTTATCCCTGTGTCTCCCCTTTTCCCATGTATTTGTTTTTTTCCATGTCTGCCGTTTTCCCATGTCTCCCTCTCTTTCCATCACCCCCTTTTTTCACAACACTCCCTGTTTCACCATGTCTCTCGTTTTAAGCCCATGCCACCTGATTCTCACATGCCCCTCTGTTCTTCATGTCTCCCTGCTTCAAAAATCTTGAAGTCTCATGTCACCTCGTCTAAACCATATATTTAGTGACCTGAGTCGGAGAACACGGTCGACCTTCAACTGTCCATGTAGTAATTCATCTCAATACCTCATGTGGGTATAACCTTCTCAGCACTCATAACCCGCTCCTTCAACCTTTTTGGGTACGTCAAAGCTAATCACGCATCTGACCCATCATATGGACCCTACAAAACTTTCCTTTATCTCCCACCTCAATCCAACTGGGCCAATTTTCGTGAAATTCCCATAAACACATAATGGAGGCACTCTTCTCCACCCGAAGAAAACGGCATCGCATAGCAAAAAATACGACATCGAAGAGCATTAAACTTGAGTGCGATAACCAGAGTGCGAACAAAATTGCAAGCCAGCCTAGGCTTGTCAATCTAACCAAGCACATCACGCTAGTTCTTTCGTCAAAGTCGTAGCACGGCTGGCTTTACCTATTGTAGCACTGATGACATTGCAGCAATGTCATTTTCCAAGAAGACAACATATCAAAGCAACACCAGTGCGCAAGCATGTGCAGCGTAAGCAAGGTAAGAGCGTTTTTGAGAATCACAAGGAGTTATATGATAAATGGTTCTCTGTAACATTCGTGAAGAAAACTGCATAAACACAACAAAAAGGTGGATGTTACATCACAAAGGCAACAAAAGTGCAGGAAATTGAAGATAAAGGTCCCCAAGCCATATGTGGTTATCAAGGACTGAATTTACGGGACAAAAGGGAATGTACCTCTTCAGAGTACATGGCTGCCAAGGACTCCTCGCATATTCCTTTGTGTTACTATATGAGCCACTGTATCTCCCCGTCAAAATTAATGATGTCATATTCACGTTCCCAACCAATAAATTCCAAGTTCTAATTCAAAGCACTTCCACATGCGTGCGAGCGAACACGCACACACGCGCGCGCGTGCGTGCACGTGCGCGCGCACACACACACATACACACACACACACACACACACACACACACATACACACACACACACACATACACACACACATACACACACACACACATACACACACACACACACACATACACATGCACGCGCGCATACACATACATACATACACCAACAAGCACGCCAACATACACTCACACATATAGACATGCATACTCACACATATACATGCACGCATATACACATGCACGTATACGCACGCATACATATGCACGCATAAGCATAAACACAACCACACAAAGTCACTTAAATACGCACCGAGAAATGTACATATACGCACCTACATACACACGCATACACACATACACACACATCCGCACACAAACATACACACGTGTTAAGGGCACATATACACACACGCATGCACAGAAACATACATGCCAAATACATGCCCATGTACACGCACACAGGAACATAAACATGAACAGATATACACATACCCATACCAATACACATTCAAGCGCACATACACACACACACACACACACACACACACAAACACATACACACACTCACTGACTGATATTCTTTGACATGCACGCACGCACATGCTTACACATCAATAGACACAAAGACAATGACACAGACAACCACACACGACATACACATACACACACGTACACATGTACGCACAAACACACACACACACACACACACACTCACACTCATATGCACACATATGCACACATCCACACCCATACACACACACATATACATACATATACATACATACACCCACATACATACACATCTACACACACACACATACAAGCACAAACATACATACACATGCACACATACATACGCATACGGATGTACATTGAGACACATACACAAACACACATGCATACATACATATATACATACATACATGCATGCACACACACACACACACACACACACGCACACACACACACACATACACACACACACACACACCTACACATGCACGCGCTCGCATGCACATACACGCATAATGTAAAGCTGGTAAAGTTTCTAAACTATCGACACTTCTTACAAGATGTGCTATTTGGAATACTAAATCTCCAACAAACGCCCGGACTTGCCAGTTAAGAGTGGTTGGTGTTAATCTTTTATCTTGTTTTGTACTACTGGTTCAAGTCAGCCAGCGTCGACCCTCCTCTCTAGCTTGGTTCTATAATAGAAGGATATTAGAGATTGAGTGACATTAACATCACAATATGATGTTGTCTTTCCCATCATACCTGTAATCTAGTACGATGCTAATAAGGAATAATCACAACCGAAATCTTTGGGTCATGCATTCATGTATTAGCCACACAAATTGTAGCCACACGACGGCTACACAACGCACGACAAGGCTTTCCTTCATGCATTTCTTCAAGGTGTGGCGCGTCTAGTTTAGCGGAGCTGAAGTAACCATGTGAACATACCATAAATTCCTACACGATTCGAATTGCAGCCAAACCTTAACCCATGACAAATTGGGTGGATGTGTCAGAATTATATTTGCATGTAATTGCATTAGCATCATTTAGTTCTGTTGGTGGTGTACCCCACCTTCCCACATTCTCTTTGCTCTATATCTGTAACTCCTCTGTCAAACTATATGTGCTGCATATTGTCTAGGCTGTAGTGGGGTAGCCCATATGGGGTACAACCCAATAAGGGTTTACTACTTGTACTCCTGCATCCTGCTAGTTCATTCATTCCTGCTGCTAGATTCTAACATGGTTTCAGAGCACTAAGGTCCGTAGGACCGTTTTTTTTTTTCGGGCCCACCTACCGCTGCAGTTACCGCGCTACCCCACGTACCTGCCTGCCTTG